TGGAACTGTATTCCACATCAAGTAACTCATGCAAGCAGTAAAATTAGATTTAAAAAACAGATACAAATACACCTTTTATTTTATTTTTTATTTTTTATTTCCCCTTTATTTAACCAGTTAGGCCAGTTGAGAACAAGTTCTCATTTATAACTGCGACCTGGCCAAGATAAAGCAAAGCAGTGCGATAAAAACAACAACAACACAGAGTTACATATGGAATAAATGTACAGTCAATAACACAATAGAAAATCTATATACAGTGTGTGCAAATGTAGTAAGTTATGGAGGTAAGGCAATAAATAGGCCATAGTGCAAAATAAATACGATTTAGTATTAACACTGGAGTGATATATGTGCAGAAGATGATGTGCAAATAGAGATGCTGGGGTGCAAATGAGCAAAATAAATAACAATATGGGGATGAGGTAGTTGGGTGGGCTAATTACAGATGGGCTGTGTACAGGTGCAGTGATCGTTAAGCTGCTCTGACAACTGATGCTTAAAGTTATTGAGGGAGATAAGAGTCTCCAGCTTCAGAGATTTTTGCAGTTCGTTCCAGTCATTGGCAGCAGAGAACTGGAAGGAATGGCGGCCAAAGGAGGTGTTGGCTTTGGGGATGACCAGTGAGATATACCTGCTGGAGCGCATACTACGGGTGGGTGTTGCTATGGTGACCAATGAGCTAAGATAAGGCAGGGATTTGCCTAGCAGTGATTTATAGATGACCTGGAGCCAGTGGGTTTGGCGACGAATATGTAGTGAGGGCCAGCCAACGAGAGCGTACAGGTCACAATGGTGGGTAGTATATGGGGCTTTGGTGACAAAACGGATGGCACTGTGATAGACTACATCCAATTTGCTGAGTAGAGTGTTGGAGGCTATTTTGTAAATGACATCGCCGAAGTCAAGGATCGGTAGGATAGTCAGTTTAACGATGGCATGTTTGGCAGCATGAGTGAAGGAGGCTTTGTTGCGAAATAAGAAGCCGATTCTAGATTTAACTTTTGATTGGAGATGCTTAATGTGAGTCTGGAATGAGAGTTTACGGTCTAACCAGACACCTAGGTATTTGTAGTTGTCCACATATTCTATGTCAGACCCGCCGAGAGTAGTGATTCTAGTCGGGCGGGCGGGTGCAAGCAGCGTTCGATTGAAGAGCATGCATTTAGTTTTACTAGCGTTTAAGAGCAATTGGAGGCTACTGAAGGAGTGTTGTATGGCATTGAAGCTCGTTTGGAGGTTTGTTAACACAGTGTCCAATGAAGGGCCAGATGTATACAAAATGGTGTCATCTGCGTAGAGGTGGATCTGAGAGTCACCAGCAGCAAGAGCGACATCATTGATATACACAGAGAATAGAGTCGGCCCGAGAATTGAACCCTGTGGCACCCCCATAGAGACTGCCAGAGGTCCAGACAACAGGCCCTCCGATTTGACACACCTTATGAAACAGTGGGGACTGTGATGCAACACAAACATAGGCACAGACACATGCATACAAACACACGATAACATAAGCACTATACACACACGTACACATAGATTTTGTGTTGTAGATATGTGGTAGTAGAGTAGGGGCCTGAGGGCACACACTTAATATTTTGTGAAATCTGTTGTGAATGTATTATAATGTTTTTAATGGGGATCCATAATACACACAAACACAAATATGAGTTTGCTTATGGGATTAGCTATATGAGCTTGTTTATGGGATTAGGTATATGAGCTTGTTTATGGGATTAGCTATATCAATTTGTTTATGGGATTAGCTATAGGAGTTTGTTAATGGGATTAGCTATATCAACTTGTTTATGGGATTAGCTATAGGAGTTTGTTTATGGGATTAGGTATATGAGCTTGTTTATGGGATTAGGTATATGAGCTTGTTTATGGGATTAGGTATATGAGCTTGTTTATGGGATTAGCTATATCAATTTGTTTATGGGATTAGCTATAGGAGTTTGTTTATGGGATTAGCTATATGAGCTTGTTTATGGGATTAGCTATATCAATTTGTTTATGGGATTAGCTATAGTAGTTTGTTTATGGGATTAGCTATATCAACTTGTTTATGGGATTAGCTATAGGAGTTTGTTTATGGGATTAGGTATATGAGCTTGTTTATGGGATTAGGTATATGAGCTTGTTTATGGGATTAGCTATATCAATTTGTTTATGGGATTAGGTATATGAGCTTGTTTATGGGATTAGCTATATCAATTTGTTTATGGGATTAGCTATATGAGTTTGTTTATGGGATTAGCTATATCAACTTGTTTATGGGATTAGCTATAGGAGTTTGTTTATGGGATTAGGTATATGAGCTTGTCTTGTTCATTGGTACTAAATGTCCTACTTTCAGTGTGACTTACTTTTGCAGATTTCCGCCCAATAAGCCCATTCTGATATTATCTTGGTGCTGTGGATGGATATGGCCATTCCAGAATTATGAATATGATCCATTAGTCAATTACTGGAACTCATCACTGATGATCTTGGATGGAGCTCTCTGGCCTTGATGTAGAAGACCAATTTGTTAGTTAAATGATCCCACAATTGAATCCCTTATCAGAGAAAAGCCTTTCTGAATCTGATTATATTAATAGCTAATTTTCTCTCTCTCTCTGTGTGTGTGTGTGTGTGTGTGTGTGTGTGTGTGTGTGTAGACCTCTGTTCAGTTTAGTGGCTAGATCTGTAGATGTAGATCTCTTTTGCCAGTCTCTGCACAGTTTAGCACTAGAACTGACAGCAACAATAACCTTCATTCTCAGGGTGTCATCCTTCCAAGCTAAATGAACCAGCATCTTCACTCATCTGCTGTCTGTACAATGACTTCAGGATGAAATAATGTTTATCTCTGCTTGGGTTGAGAGGTTCAACACAATGCTAAATAATTCATGAAAATCATGGAATAAGTATGACAGAAACAATGCAGGAAGAAGTTGAATTGTTCTGTACAACATTAACATTTAATGATTTAATGAAATTAGGCATTGTAGACATTACAGGGAGAGATCCAAGGAGGGAGGAGGGTACGCTAGGATGAGGTAATCTAATCAGCCTGATAACAATTTGATGATATTTAGCTATTAGTGTTTATTTGATTTGCGTCATTTGCTCAGATAGGCCTACGCCTTTGCCCCTGAGATCCATTGCACAATAATAGAGTACAATCCAAGTGTAGCTTTTCATCTGAACTCTCTCTCCTCAGACTCTTGGATGTTGTTGTGCTTAGATTGAAGCTGTGATCTGGCTGTCATGCCTGCCTTATGTCTGTTCACATGGACCAGCCGTGATGGTCTTCCCCACGAGAGAGAGAGAGAGAGAGAGAGAGAGATAGAGAGATATAGAGAGAGAGAGAGATTGAGAGAGAGAAGAGAGAGATCGATAGATCAGGATATAGACAGACAGAGATAAGATAGATACATCGATAGAGATAGAGAGAGAGAGAGAGAGAGAGAGATCTATATATAGAGCATCTGCTCGATCAGTCTATATACTATATAGATAGGTGTGGAACTACCTATACCTGAGCTCCTATTTCGTAGATAGCTCGATATTGTTCAGTTTGGTAGCCAGCATGGCGCTTGCAAAGCCAGTATAATGGGTTTCATTCCCGGGACCACACATACGTAAAATTTGTGCACGCATGACTGTTAAGTCGCTTTGGAACAAAGCGTCTGCTGAATGGTATATATTGAAAGAGAGAGAGAATGTGTGGGAGAGAGGCAGGACAAGGAGAGAGAGAGAATGTGTGGGAGAGAAAGAGAGAGGGAGAGAGATAGAGAGGAGGTGTGTGGGAGTAAGAGAGAGAAAGAGAGGGGGCAAGAGACAAAGAGAGGGGGAGAGAGAGTGTTCTGTAGTAATGGTGAGTATTGGGGTCTGGACACCTAATGGGAGCCCATATGCTTTCCTCTGAACACAAAAGCTGCCTATCTCTCTCTCTCTCCCTTTCTCCCTCTTCCCTCTCCCTGCTAATTGTAAGCTGTGCAAACAAATTAGATGTATTTGCGCATTGGAATTTAGCCTACCTTTTTATGTACTGCTGTACTGCAACACAGTGTGGATTCCTCTTGCTTTCTTGGACCCATTATAGCAATCTTCTCTTTAAACTCTCATCTCAACTCCTCTGACACTAGCAGGGTCAGGTTGTACATGTGAAAGATGCTAAATGCAAAGTGGAATTATATTCAGATCTAACAGTACTACTTTTTATGTTTGAATACATTTAAAGTAGATCTTAGTTAGTTTTGTCTTAGGGTAGGAGTGCTGATCTAGGATCAGGTCCCCCCTGTCCATATAATCATATTCATTATGATCTAAAAGGCCAAACAGATCCTAGATCAGCACTCCTACTCTGAGAGGCCCAGGGATTTTAATTAAAGAGGTGAACAAACTGCTAACCCATTTCAACTGATGTTTAAACCTGAAGGAATATAGGCCTAATCTCCGTATCTGCCTACTACTGTTGTACTGTATAAGTCTATGGGATTGTGGTGGAATTTGTCTACTTTATTTTGGAGAATTGCCCCACTTACAATTCAGACAAACACTCTAAGTACTGTAGGCTAACCAGCCATAATGGAAGTACAATTCAGACAACCTAAAATGGTTATTCGGCTGTCCCCATAGGAGAACCCTTTGAACAACTCTTTTTGGTTCCATGTAGAACCCTTTTCGGTTCCATGTGGAACCCTTTCCACAGAGGGTTCTACATGGAACCCAAAAGCGTTCTACCTGTAACCAAAAAGGGTTCTACCTGGAACCAAAAAGGGTTCTCCTATGGGGACAGCCGAAGTACCCTTTTGGAACCCTTTTTTCTAAGAGTGTAGGCACTGTAGGCTGCCCAGCCATAATGGAAGTACAAAATAACCACATCAAAGCCTATTCACCATTTCCCGGGAGTCAGTGTCTTGGGCGCTGTGCACAATGTGTTGCTACTCCCTACCCACTTGACAGTTGTTCTTGTAGCTTAACTGTGTTTTCCCTCTGCATTTAGGGGAGCGACGTCGGTGGTGTGCAGATGTCGACAGAAGGGAACACAGAAGCCGTACGCAGTGAAAACACTGAAGAAAACAGTAAGTTCTCACTGGATGTTCATCATGGTCTTAGTGTAATTTTTTACCCAGAGAGTACAACAGGCTAATTTTTCTTCCTTAACCCAGTTCTATTTTGTTCCTGCAGGTGGATAAGAAGATAGTTAGGACAGAGATAGGTGTTCTACTTCGACTCTCTCACCCTAACATTGTGAGGGTTCTACACACTTTTGTGCTGTCTTTGCCTAGAATTAACGATTGTTATTATGTTTTTTATTGATACTGAATTTATGTTGTTTTGTTTTATTTATTTCAGATCAAACTAAAAGAGATCTTTGAGACCCCATCAGAGATCAGTCTGGTCTTGGAGCTTGTGACTGGAGGAGAGCTATTTGATAGGTTAGTTAACTGCCCTAATGGTCACACGCACACGCACACTCACACACTCTGTGCCATTCCTCTGTTACAACAATCACAACATGTTTTTCTCTCAGGGTTGTGGAGAAGGGCTTCTACACTGAGCGGGATGCTGCTGATGCTGTCATACAAGTATTAGAAGCTGTTGCAGTAAGCTGACTTCCTTTCTCTGACACCTGTCAGAAAGTAGGCTAAAAAATGTCTAGCAAACTCTGACATACTGTAATGCTTTTGACCTGCATAGCTGGGAGGCACCATCACACATTCACACCGCCTGCCCCTTATCTATACATTGTAAAGAACAAAATGTGTCTGTCTCTCACTGAGCTATCTTTGAAATGTCATCAACATGGACCAAGGCATATGTCTTCTTCCTCATGTTAGGAGTCCTGTTAGTGTCTTCCATGATCCTCTGTTAGATTGCTGTTGCTAAGGAGATGAAATAGTAAAACCGGGATTTTTTTAACACATAGATCCTTTTCCAGTACACGACATACTGACGTCACACACACATGCGCCCATGGTAAGAAAACCATCGCCAACTGCAACATAGCCTAGATTTATGTTTTTATTACTTCTAAACAAAATACTTTTTGGGGGTTCTCATAGGCTTACAGTTAGGTTTTGATTCTTGCTTGAACAGTCGCTAAGATTATATTTGGTTGTGGTCTTTGCAAAATAAATATTTTGGATTCAGCAGTTGTTAGCTAGAATGCTGAAGCTCATTGATGTAGCAAAAGCTAGCCAAAGAGCCATTTTACTGGTTGAAGTTGAAGTGTTTTTTTAAAGTATAATGCAGTTGATTTGCGATGATGACATGAACATTATATTAAGTAGGACATTCAGACGAGCCTTAACATCCTATTATAATCCAAAAGTAGTGTGAAATGCACTCATAAGCAACATGTAAATAGAGGATTGTTTTTGCTGGCGTTCTATAAGAACTCCCCCTTGTTCTGCCACCATCTTGTGCACATCGCCCTCGTGCGGCAGTGTTTGCAAACACAGAGGGGTCTATTTAAATCAGCTCAGGGCTTGGTGGTGTAGTCAGTCTGAAACAGCTGCTGTTTTCCCAACGGGTTTACTGAGGAGAGAAAAACGGGATTTCTGAAGCCTCCAGGTCTTTTTGAAGTTTCCTTATGTTGTTGAGCAAGCGTCGAGGAAGACTTTGTTCCGTGTTGATTGGGAGTGATTTATTTACAGTATACACGGCCACTTCGGAAACGGCAGAGAGGTTCTGCGGTCTGTCTGTTACATGATCAAAGCCATCTGGATATCTAGCTAACGTCCCAGTGGAGCATCTTGGTAGCCTCATGTCCCGCCAATCTCACTGGCACGTCTACACTTAAGTCCCCACTCTGTTTGTGACAGATTTGAGTCCTTTATTATAGGCACCTCATTTGGTGTTATCTTATCATCACAATGTGTTGATTATTTTGGACATGGAGAATCTGGAACCACGTTTTAGATCCGTTGTTAAGTTCTTTACTGTCAAAAGACGGTATTAGGCTAGCTAATGTTCTTGATGTTGAGACTTACCATTGAGAGCTAATATTTTCCTCATTGGCCAAATACATTGGCTAGCCCACCTCTCAGGTACTTTACTTTCTCTATCAGAAGAGATCCACTGTCAATGAGAACACAGAGCTGTGTCGTTGGCCTATTGGCCAGAATAGCTTATTTTGAGTGGTGCTATGGCAGCCGTGGGAGACCTGAGATATCTGTGGTGGTGTGTGCGTGTGCGTCCCACCTTCTCTTCATCCCTTCATCCCACCATCCCACACTCTACTTGTCGAGAGGACACCTTATCTGTGTCAGCTCCATCGAGCTTTGTGCAGGAGAGGAGAATTCCCCTCTGACATCAGAGCCATTACACCGAGGGGTTGTCACAATACATAGTGTGGGGAGAAAATTATGCCTTCATTCACTGTGAACGAGATCTATTCAACCTAGCCATTCCCAATTAGAAAAGATGACTGTTTTTGTTGCATAATAAGGGTAGCTCATTCGGTACTAACCTTGATGCTTAGAATTTTCATGCCAGTGGAATATAATGTGGTTCTTTAACAGCTTAATGTTACATAAGAAACTAGGGATTTGCATAACCACCAACCCACCCACAGTGTGCAGAAGATAAGTTATACAAGAAGGTTGCTTTACAAACAAATATCATTATCAAGACAGTGAGCCATAGAGTAGGTCTATACTCTATACCTTATCCATGACACCACAAAGTCTTTGAACGTATTGCTTTCCCTCACTTGAATCCCACCTCGTCTTTTCAATGGCCAGCTTATCAAGGTAGCTGCCTTGTGCTGCTGTTTTCTGTAACTGGGCAGACTTGTATGGCTCACATTGCCTTGTTTGATGAGTTACCGTGTTAACACGGGTGAAAGTACTCACTGAACCCAAGAATAGTTTAAAACATACTTTAAATCATGTTTACGTCCAGTACACAGTATCATAGCACAGTGTACAGGTAGCTGCCAAAATAAAGGAAACACTAACATAAGGTGTCTTAATAGGGTGTTGAGCAGCCAGAACAGCTTCAATGCACCTTGGCATATGTTCTACAAGTCTCTGGAACTCTATTGGAGGGATGCGACTCCATTCTTCCGGCAAAACAAATTGTTGATGGTGGTGGAAAACGCTTACTCAGGTGTCGCTCCAAAAGTGTTCAATTGGGTTGACATCTGGTGACTGATACACACATACACACACATACACACACACACACACACACACACACACACAGTGTAATACACAGTTCAGAATAGACAACGATAAGATAGAGGTTGTGAAAGATAGTTCAACTTTGTATTTTGTTTACCCATAGAGCATTTTCAACAGTGCACTATAAAGCAGGAATGTTATGGTTCTGTGTAGAAAATGAATTGTGGGAGCGGGCGCCGATTCATTCGGCGGTGCTGAATCCCAAAATCCCCAAACAGTCCAGCCCCATACCCCAGCAGACAGATCAATAGCACACAACGTGTGTAGGAGTCAGACAGCCACCTGGGTGCTATGGTGTTGTCTTGTGTCTTTGTATTTGTCCAGTACCTGCATGAGAACGGCGTGGTGCATCGAGACCTGAAACCTGAGAACCTCCTGTACGCCACCGCAGCACCAGACGCTCCCCTCAAAATAGGTTGGTGGGGTTACTCAATACCCTGTGGGATTCACTACCATTATCCCAAACAACATCCATTGACTCTGTTGTGCTATCAGAGACAGAGCTGACTTGATCAGACATAATTGGGGAATCAATGCCAACGATTATATTCTATTATTGGAATGATCTATTTTCTATTGTATTCTATTCTACCGGTATTTTATTCTACTATTTTATTCTAATACCAGATATGAGGACTTCCAGAAAGAGGCATAATCTTTAATATATCTCTGTCTCTGTCTTTCATTTTGCAGCTGATTTTGGTCTGTCGAAGATCATCGATGATCAGGTCACAATGAAGACTGTTTGTGGTACACCAGGATACTGTGGTGAGCTATAACCCATTACTGTGATGATTTTTCATTCACTTGGAACATAATATTTGCTAGCTGCTAGACTAGAGATTGCCATTTCAGACCTAGCAGATTTTTGTTGTTTTGGTTGCATGCTTAACTTGCAAAGACTTGAGCAGAGACAGTTACCATGAGGACAGGGTGTATGTTGTAATATTTATCCACATTCTACATAGTACATCCTTGGATAAATCGTTACTGAGTAAGAATTCCCTACTGTGTTTTAACCTCTGTCTCTCTCCTTCCCCGTTATGCTGCCCCTCCCTCCCTCCCTCCCTCCCTCCCTCCCTCCCTCCCTCCCTCCCCGCCTGCCCTCCCTCCCTCCCTCACTCCCTCCCTCCCCACCCGCCCTCCCTCCCCGCCCTCCTCGACCTCCCTCCCTCCCTCCCTCCCCACCCTCCCTCCCGCCCTCCCTCCCCGCCCTCCCCACTCTCCCTCCCTCCCTCCCTCCATCTTGCTCTTCTCTTTTTCATCTCTCCCCTATCTATCCTTCCTCCCCTCTCTCCAGCCCCAGAGATTCTGCGAGGAAGTGCTTATGGACCTGAGGTTGACGTGTGGTCGGTGGGAGTTATCACGTATATCTTGTAAGTGACACCAGACACTCAAAAGTTGGTTTCTGAATCAAGGGTGTTGGTGCATTCCTGTTGTATAGCTTCTGAGTGATTTTGTTTCTTTCACATACTGATTGGTATACATAGTATGTGGGTGTGAGTTCCCCATTATACAGCAAGCCAGGTAATGGTAGTGCAACTGCTAGCAACAGCATTCAGAAGAATCGCTGGTATACAGACTCACTACCAGTTAATGAATATTAAACTGTACAAATAACATATTTTGAAGGCACATCAATCTGGGAGAATAAGAGAGTGTGTGACTAGCAAACCTTAGTGCGAGGAGGATTGCACCTCTAATAGAGTTGTAGGTTAGGCCCCTGTGGCTATCAGATCCTGTCAGACTGTAGCCAGCTATTGAATCAATAGACCGGAACTGTCTGTGGTTGATGTATGCCTCGTATTTCATCCTCTCTCAAAGGCTATGTGGCTTTGAACCGTTCTTCGATGACAGAGGGGACCAGTACATGTTCAAGAGGATCCTCAACTGTGAATATGAGTTTGTCTCCCCCTGGTGGGACAATGTGTCCCTCAATGCCAAGGACCTGGTGAGTTTTATTTACATTTTAGCAGACGATCTTATCCAGAGCGACTTAGTGAGTGCATATATTTTTTATTTATTTTTTTCATACTGGTCCCCCGTGGGAAACGAACCCACAACCCTGGCGTTGCAAACGCCATGCTCTACCAACTGAGCTACACGGGACTACACGATATTTACTGTTACCATGGGTGTATTCATTACGCCAATTCTGTCGCAAAACATTTTGTCTGTTGCAAAATGTTTTTCATTGAAAACTAGAGTTTCTATTGGACAAATTCAGGTAGGTCCCATCCCGTTTTGTTCTGTTTGCTTCCGTTTGGTTCTGTTTGGTTCCTAGTTAAGACACCCCTGGGGTCCCGAGGTTACCACAGTCACGCTGGCTGACATTTCCCCCTGGTACTTACGCGTAATTAATAAATCAGTAATTGGTGGAGAATGAAAACCTACTTCCCCTAACCAGCATGAGGGTTCCCTTCTCGTCCTGTACACTACTGGCTTGGCTTCTGAAAGAACATACTGTACTGTACTTCTGTAATGCCCTGCAAACTTCTAGGCCTGCGCTTTAGCATCCGATTGGTTAGACAATTGGTTAGACATATGGTTGCTGGCTGCATTGTAGAAGAGAGGAAGAGGCAAAGTGAGAGGGAGAACTGGGCCCAAAATCTGTCTTCTCCAGCAAGTGGTGCTTTCTCAATTTTTTGGCTCACCAGGCAAGGAGTTTTGTATGGTGGTCAATGATAGTGTCGAATTTGGTCACCCCCCCAGAAAAAAGGGTTATTTGCTATGTGTGGCTTATTTGATCGAATAGAAGTTTCGTAATGCTTAGGTTGTTATGAGTGTACTGATATAAATATTGCACGTGACATCCCAGCAACTTTGGAAAAAAAAAACGTTATATCAGAGTTGTGCCATTGACTAGAATGGTCCCACCTGATCTTGCCTCCTCCTGATTGCCTTCCATTTTTTAAGACATTTATTTTAATTGTTAGAGCGGTCAATATATTGGATCATCTGTGATTGTAGCATTGGGTCAGGTGAAATGTTTCCCAGGTGAATGGTCAGTGTGAGTGTGTCCATATAGGTGTGTCTGATTATCAAATAATATAAAAAAGGAGGGTAACTAGAAATCCAGGGCAAACAGGCTACATCCATCTCTTACTGTTCATTCTGAATTTTATCTCCAAATTATGAACTGGGCTGACTTGTTATGTGGACAGAAACCTGCAGAAACAGCATCCAAGAAAATGATGAATTCAGTCTCAGTGACCCAGTTACTAACCATATATACGTGCTGCTGTCCTGTAGGTGAGAAAGCTGATTGTCCAGGATCCAAAGAAGCGGCTGACGACCTTGCAAGCGCTGCAGCACCCCTGGGTGACTGGGAAGGCAGTTAACTCAGCCCATATGGACACTGCTCAGAAGAAACTGCAGGAGTTCAATGCACGCCGAAAACTCAAGGTAGGTACAAAACAACGTTTCTCAATAGGATTTTGTACCGTAGTTGAGGGCAAGTAGTACCATGTCTAATTTATTGATGTCAGGACATTTTAAACTCATGATTGTGTAGTTGTGTCAAGATCCTTTGAATGTATTTGGAAGGCAAGCATAGACAAACATATATGATTGCTATAATACCTTGATTTATCAGCATAGTCACATTGGGCCTACACATGAATCCTAAACTGTGTCAATTAATGATATACTGTGTACTGTGTGTTTGTTGACAGGCTGCCGTAAAGGCCGTGGTGGCTTCATCACGATTGGGCAGCGCTAGCAGTCACGGCAACGCTGACAACAGCAAGAACAGCAACTGCAACAACTCCGCCAATCAAAAAGAGGCACAAGAGGAGCAGCCACGGAACGACCAGTCACAGATCCAGGAGGGATCCTAACTGTGGATCTCCTCTGTCGTTGTCACCCTGTGAAGGCATTCAACCCTCCTGCTAGACTGAAGTTGCTGAGAGGAGCTATGTGGTATTACCATCTGTACTGGCGATACTCTGCTTGGCTTTATTGCATGTGACTGATTTATGAAACGGTGTACAACCATATTGACTCGGCACATTGGAACAACATGCCTACAAGTATTTAAAGTACATGTGAAATCAGAGTTTACGACTGCGCATTCCCATTTCATAACTCACACAACAAGTAGCTTCACTGGATGGTTTAGCTCTTCCATAATACAATGTTATAACTGCAAAATGGTCTCCAAGTGTTCCCAGTATTAATTTGCCAGTTTGTAAATGAATTCATAACAATTGGCAGAATAAGGATAGTAGGTCATTATGTGTTCTGGTAATCATCATGATGCTTTGGTGGCAGAATATAGAATCGATCTAGGTTGATTTTCAATACTGGTTGAGTAAGCCTACAGTATCTGTTTGAAGAACGGGTTTGACACATTTTCCAGATGGTCATAAACTTAACCTTTATTACAACTTCTAAGGAGAATGCCTTATTATTGTATCTTATTAACTGGATTTTACACTCCCTTTGTAAGAAATATTTCATATCTTGTTAAGAATTAGATTAGAAACATGTTAAAAACAATCAATAGCACAATGATTGTATTCAAACGGACTTTCAAGGAACATTAGGTTATTTCGTAGTGCAGAGTTGTTTTAGCATTAAGAACTTTTCACTTTTGTATAGCAAAATATGTTGTGTACAACTGAAAAGGCACCCCAGTTTTTTATTGCCAAATACACAATTTGCAGGGAAATGATGGATGAGTAGATACAATTTTATTTTATTTAGATATTCAGTGCCAAAATTGGTTGAGGCTGCTGCTTTATTTGATAATATCCCACCTCTGTCATATACAATTGAAGAGGGTGTTCTCTTCGTGCAAATATTTATTTCTCATTATAAACTGGGTGGTTCGAGCCCTGAATGCTGATTGGCTGACAAAACATTTATTGTTACTGCTCTAATAACGTTATAATAGCAATAAGGCACCTCAGGGTTTTGTGGTATATGGCATTGCGTCGTGCCTAAGAACAGCCCTTAGCCGTGGTATATTGGCCATATACCACACCCCCCGTACCTTATTGCTTAATTAACCCATTAGCTGACATGCCTTGTTATGGAATTCTTTTTTAAATCTACAAAGAAAAAGGTTGGCTGTGTATTGAATTTTAGCATGCTTTTGCCTTCAGTATAAAGGAATGATGTGGATAATATATGCATGTAGGAATGTTGAATTGAACTGCTGCGGTTGTCTGTAAAGATTCACTATAGTTGACTGACATCACATGACAGATGTAATCTGTGTTAAACAGTGAAGTATTAGAGGACTCTTAAGGCCCCAAGACGTTAACTTGATATTCCTTTTATATGCTCAAGGAAACATTAAATCATTCAATGTTGTCTTAAAATGGTTACCATTAACATTGATTTGGTAAGGACTGCAGGACAAAACAATTAATAAACTATATGAAGTTACATATATTTGGGCAGTTTTGTATATCTGACGGCTTATGTACTTTTTGAACTTGTATACAAATGGTTTTTCATTATTTTATTGAGCTACCATTTCCAGTGTTTCCGCTACATTGTAGATTAATTAGGTGGGGTGGTCTCCATCGCCCAGTACTGGAAGATGCCCCTATACTGACCAATGTCTATGGTATAATGTATGTAGCTCAGTTGGTAGAGCATGGCGTTTGCAACGCCAGGGTTGTGGGTTCGATTCCCAGTATGAAAAAATAATGGATAAGAGTGTCTGCTAAATGACAAAATAAAAAAATGTAACAGGTCAATATGGAGAGAGAGTGAGCTGTAAGGGGGATCTATGGATCCTGCGATGCAAAGGTGAGAGCACTACCCTGCGCCTCGGGCAGAGGCAGTAGTATTCTCACATACACCATGCTACAGAATTACCCCTCTCTCTCAAAGTTTCCTCCCATTTGAACCAAGCCCTAAATGACAACAGGTAAGCTCCTCCAAAGGCCATCCCAGTGCTGCCACCAATGAAACAGGTCGATGTGGAGAAAGTGATGGGGCATGATCATTGGGCACGATCCATGGATCCTGCCCTACTCCCTGCAGTGGTCTAAGGCACTGCATTGCAGTGCTAGCTGTGCCACTAGAGATCCTGGTTCGAATCCAGGCTCTGTCGTAGCCGGCCACGACCGGGAGACCCATGGTGCGGTGCAGAATTGGCCCAGGGTAGGGGAGGGAATGGCCGGCAGGGATGTAGCTCAGTTGGTAGAGCATAGTGTTTGCTATGCCAGGGTTGTGGGTTTGATTCCCACAGGGGGCCAGTATGAAAAAATAAAATAATGTATGCACTCACTAACTGTAAGTCGCTCTGGATAAGAGTTTGACTAAAATGTAAAAATGTAACACTCACATACACCTTGCTACAATACAGTTGAAGTCGGAAGTTTACATACACTTAGGTTGGAGTCATTAAAACTTGTTTTTCAACTACTCCACAAATGCCTTGTTAACAAACTATAGTTTTGGCAAGTCGGTTAGGACATCTACTTTTTCCAACAATTATTTACAGACAGATTATTTCACTTATGATTCACTGTATCACAATTCCAGTGGGTCAGAAGTTTACATACACTAAGTTGACTGTGCCTTTAAACAGCTTGGAAAATTCCAGAAAATCATGGCTTTAGAAGCTTCTGATAGGATAATTGACATAATTTGAGTCAATTGGAGGTGTACCTGTGGATGTATTTCAAGGCCTACCATCAAACTCAGTGCCTCTTTGCTTGACATCATGGGAAAATCAAAAGAAATCAGCCAAGACCTCAGAAAAAAAATTGTAGACCTCCACAAGTCTGGTTCATCCTTGGGAGCAATTTCCAAACGCCTGAAGGTACCACGTTCATCTGTACAAACAATAGTACGCAAGTATAAACACCATGGGACCACGCAGCCGTCATACCGCTCAGGAAGGAGACGCGTTCTGTCTCCTAGAGATGAACATACTTTGGTGCGAAAAGTGCAAATCAATCCCAGAACAACAGCAAAGGACCTTGTGAAGATGCTGGAAGAAAGGTACAAAGTATCTATATCCACAGTAAAACTAGTCCTACATCGACATAACCTGAAAGGCCGCTCAGCAAGGAAGAAGCCACTGCTCCAAAACCGCCTGTCACGGATTCAGCCAAGGCTGCCCCTCCTTGCTCGGGCAGGCTTCGGCGTTCGTCGTTACCGGAGTACTAGCTGCCACCGATCTATGTTTCTGTGTCCTACTTGTTTTGTCTTTATTGTACACACCTGGTTCCCATTATGTTCATGATTTTTTTTCCTATTTAACCCTCTGGCTCCCACTGTGTTGTGTGCGTGTTTGTTCTATGTTTGGTGTCATCGACTGGTGAGCGGTATTTGTCCTCCCTGCGTGGAGATTATGTTCATTTATTTTCACGAGTAAAGTACGTTGTCTACTATCTCTGTGTCCTGCGCCTGACTCCGTCCTACCGCAACACACTGACGCCTGACAGAAACACGCACCTCAAATGGAGTCAGCAGGTACAGTCATTCCTTCCGGATCAGTGGAGGAACGCATGATACAGACTCTCGGCACAGCCATGGATCGCGTGTTGAAACCTATGGAGCGATGGGAGAGAGGGGTTTTTCCTACACCTCCTTCAACTACACTGCAACCCACACCGCTGTCCACCCCTTCATCACCTGGGTCCAGTGGGATTCGGCTCTCGCTCCCGAGGGAATATGATGGTACAGCTGCCGGGTGCCAGGGTTTTCTGCTCCAGGTAGAGCTCTACCTGGCTACCATCCACCCGGCTCCCTCGGGATACGAGAGCGTGTCCGCCCTCATCTCCTGTCTGTCAGGGAGAGTGCTCGAGTGGGCCAACACAGAGTGGGGAGGAATAGACGCGACGTCGGTGCGCTATGAAGATTTCACCCGCCGCTTCCGGGAGGTATTTGATCATCCACCGGAGGGGAGAGCGGCGGGGGAACGTCTGTTCCACCTCAGACAGGGGAAGAGGAGCGCTCAGGACTTCGCACTGGACTTCAGGACCCTGGCAGCCAGCGCGGGATGGAATGAGAGGGCCCTGATTGACCACTACCGGTGCAGCCTACGGGAGGACGTTCGTCGGGAGCTGGCCTGCAGGGACACCAACCTTAACCTGGACCAGCTGGTGGTTTGTCGATAAGGCTGGATAACCTGTTGGCCACCCGTGGACGTCCGGATCGGGGTCCGTCCATTCCATCCCCCAGCACCTCCGACCCTACACCGATGGAGCTCGGAGGTGCTGCTCTCAGGGAGACCGGAAGGGGGCCGTTTCCTGCACCAACTGTGGCCGCAGAGGACACACTGCTGGTCGGTGCTGGGGATGGTCCTCAGGGAGTCGAGGCAGCAGGCAGAGCACTGGTGGACCTTCCCAGGTGAGTAGGCACCCGACTCACCCAGAGCTCCCTGTTGCGCACATGTGTATTGACATAGAATTTCCGGAGTTTTCCCCGCATTCCCAGCATAAGGCGCTCGTAGATTCAGGCGCAGCTGGGAACTTTATTGATCGTATATTTGCCCGTAGATTAGGGATTCCTATTGTTCCTGTTGATGTGCCCTTCCCTGTACATGTCTTAGATAGTCACCCTTTAGGGTCAGGCCTGATTAGGGAGGTCACAGCTCCACTCTGGATGAAAACGCAGGAGGGTCATGAGGAGAGAATTAGTCTCTTTCTGATCAATTCTCTTGTATTTCCAGTGGTGTTGGGGCTTCCCTGGTTAACCTCTCATGACCCCACAATTTCATGGCAACAGAGGGCCCTCAATGAATGGTCACGTCAGTGCTCGGGGAGGTGTGTAGGTGTTTCCATAGGTGCAACTACGGTGGAAAGTCCAAAGCAGGTCTCCACTATGCACATTCCCCCCGACTATGCCGATTTGGCTCTCGCCTTCT